TTGGGGGTCTTGGATCAGAGCAAAATTGCTCTGCTGGAAAATGCACATCATTTAGTTTTGGCCTCTTTGTTGTCTGAAATCTCTGGATGACACCTAAAGGGTACTGGGACCTGGAGGTGACATGTGGCCTGACAGACCTTCTAGCATCATTTGGTGCCAGTCAAAAGAGTGCTCCTCTTGTTTAAGCGACTTTGCTTGATATCATCTCTAGTCCATAAATTACTGAAGGTCAGGGACTGTTCAAGCAGGACAAGGTGGACCCTGTCACCAGGAGGCTGAGATCTGCGTGGACATGGGAGAGAGCTAGGGAGACCCTGTTCCTGGGAGCTAGCAGCCCTGCAGTGCTGGGGTAGCTGGTAACAACTTCTGAGGCTCAATATTCAAAGCAAAATTCAGAGCCAAATATTTAAAAGACTTACAGGAATTTGCTGGAAGCAGCTTGCTCACACTATTCTGCTTTTATCTGAAAAGGTTGCTGAAACCTTGATTCCTCCAGTTGCAACCAAAGATCTTTCTTCTTCTCAGTGCAGCTCCAGGCTGTAAAAATAGCATCATCTAATTAAAGATTAGTTCCCCCTCTCCTCTTCTGAAAAATTAGTAATTCTGACCGAATCACTGACACACAATAAATACTGAACCTCGCATTGCGGGGTTGCCAGCTGTTCTGTGGAACTGAAATTTCATGTCCTTCTGTGTCAGTCTGTGCCGTTGAAGGTCACCAGAGCTATATGTGAAGATTAAGAAAGGCAGATTACTGTGGAAACTGGTTATGTTATTGAGAACTGAACACAATATTCTGAAGTGATCACTTTGAAAAAGACTGAGCATACTCTAGTTGGGGGGAAAAATCGGTCTTATTTAAATTGGCTCTTTTTCTTGTCTATTATCCTCAGTTAACTTTTTGTTTCCTCTTCCAGTGTGCTGCAGCAGTTCAGCTTGCATTGATCCAAATTGGGCTTCAGCTGCCTTTCTTAAATTAAGAGTTACTCTGCGTGGAACCAATGATTTCTAAATTATTTCCTGTGTCAATTGCCTTATAGCTCTAAATCCAACGCTGTAGGAGAGAATTTCTGGAGCATTCATTTACTTATTCTGAGGAAACAGAACAGTAATTTTCAAATTTTTTTTTTCTTTACAGTTGATGAAAACACATGTAACTTGCTGAGCATCTCAACTGTGCTTGAAATGATTGAATCAGACCCGTTCCTTCTTAGCTGGTCACAGGAAGTGAAATTATTTCCTGAGGGCTCGTATTACAAGAAAGCATGACTGCTGCTCTCAGGCGCTGAATAGTTTTGCTTTACCTGAATTGGCAGGCAAGTTTTTGGGCACATTTGAAGGAAATCCAGATTAAAAAACCCAACCCTTTGTAACAAGGGTAAATTCAGACCTGATACTGCCATCCATTACCAGTGCTATTCAAGGCTTCTCCTTCCCACGGATATTGAACTAAATAATCTTAAAGTCAGACAGGGCATTGCTTAATCACCGGGCTCTGAATACACCATTCTTCAGCAAAAACCTGCTCAGCTATCATAGCTTTCTATGTCTTTAATAGCCAGCCTAATAGCCGATAGATTCACACTTCCCAAAGAAGAGGCAGTTTTACTGATGTCTTTAAATCATTCTCTGTGGAAACAGAGTTGCATTAAATCCTAGTAATTAGGCAGTTTCAGCTGTCTTCAGTGCTTTTGACTCTGCCGTTGCCTTGAGAGTTGGGGTCCCTCTGTCCTGCTAATGTGAACCCTCTCTCTACTTACACATGTGCATGGACATGCTCACACACCCTTTAACTCTTTGTTTTCACCCTGAACCCAAGAAAGAAACACATTTTCTGGTTTCACCATTATTTCCAAAACCACCACAGGAAAAAAAAAAGTTTGTGATCAACAGTGAGTCCATTTTACATCAGTTCTTGTGTTAAGATCTACTACAGCATTGGTTTTGTACTATCTGAAAACGTGAAGTGATGTGTCTTTCAATGACTTTCAGGGTTATTTTTTCTTTCTGCTGACGAATAACGTAAAGAATAGGATGATATTTTCCCAGGCTCTCTTTATCACAGTGGCTGTCCTGTGAGCTCTCCTGGCTTGCTATAAAGCACCTGACACAAACGCATTAGAAACCCTTTCACTGCTCTATTGATCAGCATTACTAAGTACTGCAAATGCGTGTGCATCTGGCTCGCGTATACTGTGGACAAAGCAGAAATGAAGGCTGCAAACAGCATTCATGGATATTGGTTTAAAGGCGACTTCATTCTCCTTTGACTATGTTTGTGCTCCCTCTTCACTAGCAATCTTGGGATGTTTGTAGAAAAGGATTTTTGTTCGCTGGTGGTGGTGTGGTGGTGCATTTTTCATGAGCACCCAGAGCAGAAAGTATTGCACAGCCATCTTGAGCTGATCAAAAGCCACTCAGAATCAATGGGATTTTTCCAGTGAATTTGGTGGACTTTGGATCAGGCCCAGTAGGCACCGAGGAATCGTCTAATGAAAGAGCAGCCCTGAAACCCCATGATTTAGACAGCCACTCACCCAGCGCAAATAGTAAATTACAAACAGCAGATACTGGCAGCAACAGGCACAAATAATCTGTAGTCAGCAATTCACAGCCTGAAATATGTTGGCATAAACAATACATCAGATAATTCCAGCTAACCAACACATTTGTGAAAATCCAACCCTGTTTATGATAATTTTCAAAAAGGCAAGTTCAGCAAGAAAAATATTTGCAAGAAAAGGAACCTCTCCCTTTTGGCTTACTGATCATTTAGAAATGTTTTTTGGGTATGAGCTGAACTTGTGAGGCACTGGACAACCTCAGGCAGGACCTGGTGTGGGTGCTGGGCAGCCCAGCTTAGCCTTTATTCTGCTTTGGTTTCACTGTGGTTTTCTGCTTAGGCTCCATTCTCACGTACGTTTGCCGATAAGGCTGAGCCATTCGGAGCAGGGAGGATGACAGCTGCCTGCAGTGAGTTGCAAAAGGATCTTGCAGTCCCAAGTGAGCTGGCAGGAAAATAAAAGGTGAAATTTAGAGTAGGTAAATGTAAAGTTACATAGATAGAGAGGGGAAAAAAGTCCCAAATTCACATGCACAGGAAAAGCCTCCACAGTGACCCTAACCACTCTGAAACGGATCTTGGCTTGATCATGAATACTTGTATGAAGGGTGCAATGCAGTCCTCCGTAATGGTGAGAAGAGCAAACTGAAGGTTGGGAAGGAATAACTGGGAATGATGATGATAATTTTTCACCTGCTAGCTACAGTACCCCTTGGTCTGTGCTCTCGTATGGCAAAGGCAGCTGCCACGAATCCCTAGCCATGGGCTCTTGCAGCGTGGGGATGGAGCTATTGTCAGCATCGTGTGCGCAGTAGCAGATTAGCGGTGAGGGCTGGTGGGGACCAGCAGCACACAAAGTCAGTGAGGGTGGACACACAGGAGCGGGTAGTGTAGGTAGGCTGAAAAGCAAAGTGGGGTACTTCTGGGTTGCTTTTTCCCTATGCTACCAGAACTCCCCTTGTAAAAGGAAGAGCGAGTTGTTCGCACCCTAGAAGCGGCCCAGGGAAGAGAAGTTGCTTGCAAGTCATCATGTCACTGAGCGTTGCAAAAATACAGTGAGCGGAATGGTTATTTTGCCTTTATGCAGGGCTTGGGTTGTGCATGTCAAATGCAGCAAAGTTGCACAGTAAAATAAAGCCTGCAGCTACACACTGAACAGTGTTAAGGGCAAAAAAAATTGCTTCAGGGCTCACTAAATGAGCTGCATGTGCCTAATGCATGGAGGGCTGCAGGAAAAAATAGTTGTGATGGTATCTATGTATGAGCAAGGAGAACGAGAATAACTAAATGCAAGTAGCTCAGGAGCTTTCGTGCTGACATTTCCCAGCTTCTGCCTTTGCAGCTGCAGCAACGTTCCTTTAACATTACTGGTAAGTTTGCATTGTGCATGGTAGCCCAGGACACGGCAGATGTGGAGCAGGTCAGGAGCAATACATCCCTTGCAGAGTGACGAGCAGAGGTTGGAGAAAGCCTGCCAGCGTCTGCCGTGCAGCGTGCATCAGCGCACAAGCAGTTAACAAGCTACCGCCCTCCTACAGGCATTAGCTTCGTTCCTCTATATCCCTGTTCCCTCGGTCCCTATAACAATTTGTCTCCCGACCTCCTGCCTCCCTCATGAGGGATCTTGCCAGTCCCATTGTTGAGCCGTGCTTTGTGTTAATGCTGCAAATAGAGACTAGCCATTGTTTGTAATTTAATTAGCGTCATCCCCAGGAACCTAAAGCATGACAGAGGGAATTGGAGGCGGTGGTGAAAATGATGCATGGGCATGGGTAGAGGTTTAACCATTTTCATGCCAGCATGCTTTGTAGATGATGCACAGAGGATACGGCTTTCTGGGCATGTGGAAATCGCCAAATGTGGATGTTTAGTCTCTGCCATGGTATTTCACAAATTTAGGGTGGCTACTCTTAAAAGAGAAAATGAAATCTAAAGCTGCCTACCATCTCAATTTCTGTCCAGCAGAATTTTTTTCTTAATGAAAAGCCTCCTTAGAGTGAAACTCCTCCATTTCTCTGTATTAAAAAAAAAAAAAATCTTTTTGCTCAGGATTGTTTTTGTATTGGACATGAGATTTTGCTAAAGGATATTGCATGGTGAGCCCCTATGTCAGATTGTGAGGGAGGTTGTGGGATTGCCATCACTGGAAGTTTTTATGCACAGGCTGAGCAAACGCTGGCTGGGAATTCTTAACAGCTATCAGGATTGTTATAGCTGTTTTAAGGTACAACAGCAGCTGGAAGCCTCGTCTGACAGATGTGCCACTGTTGCCCAAAGGTATAGTAAGAGACAGTCCCAAAGAGCTTGCAAGCAAAGCCAAGCCTGGTGCACAAACCGAATCTAAAATCAGCGGCGAGCGAGTATGGCTTTGCAGAAAGATCGATGCGTGCAGGTATTTGTCTCTTCACTGTGCATCGTTTTTGTGTCTTTGCTTTAGGTGTCACAGCCTCATCACACCTCTTTGACTATGGCTCCACTGCCAATGGGGGTGACAGCTCCTTCTACACCTCTCTGATCTCGGATGTCCACTACACTACCCCACGGGACTCCACCTATTTCACTGGCATTTATCTTTTTTTGCAGGAAAACAGCCCCATTCCCTGTTCAGGCAGCACAGAGGGGTTTAACACACTTGGGCATCCTGTTCAAGATGTGACTGCGTTTGAGTCCCGTGGCTTGTTTAGCTCAGATTCGGGAATAGAGATGACTCCTGCAGAGTCTATTGAAGTCGATAAAACCTTAGCAGATCCCATGAAAGTAGAAGCTTATAAATACATGGACATAAGTAGATCAGAAGAAATAAAATACCAAGAAGAACATGACCTTGACTCAGAAGATGAGAGCCCAGGACTTATCAATAAGTCCCAGGGAATACCAACTAGGTCCAGCCACACGACTGAACCTCAGCAAACAGCTTTGGGGAGCATGAAGGCAGCCAAAGAGCAAGACCTGCTTGAAGACACAAGGTCTGGAGATCAGCACAGTGCCTCTGTGGTTACAGCCCCTATCAAGATCACGCTCACCGAGATAGAAAGTACCGGGGAAGCTGCCAGCAAAGAGTCGAGCTCAACTCAGCCAGAGACTGGTCTGAAGCCGAGCCATGAGGTGGTACCAACAGTGACGGTGTCGGAGCCAGAAGATGACAGCCCAGGGTCCATCACGCCACCATCCTCTGGCACAGGTAATGCTGGTGCATGGCACCATTTATTTTGGTATTCAGAGTGTGGTTGTAATTGTAGCCCTGCACGTTGAAGAATTACTGTGGGTTTGTGGGGCAGGTTTAAGGGGGTGCGAGCAGACATTAACATCTCTCCAAGGCTGGAAGTGTTTCTGCTCTGCTTGGGCACCACTTTGCGCTGCCAAACTGAAGTGGAATGTGAACCGTGCTGCCCATCACTAACACACTGCTCAGGATGGGCTGCCCTTGCTGTATGAAAAGAGGGAAAGACAGGGCTGGGGATTCACAGAAATAAGTTGCTGAGAGTCGCTCAGGAGCAGGGCTGGGGTGAGAACCAGGCTTACTGATCCCGGTTGTCACAGGGACCCTTCCTTGAGGGGAAGTTGTGAGCTGACGGGTGTCATTGAGAGTATCATCAACCAGGCGATGGTTTGAGCTGAATCCTGGTGATTTTGGGTCTCTTGGTCACCCTGGCTGGCCACACTTGCCAGAGAAAATGAGGTGTGTGGGACCAGGGCACCGCAAATGTCTGGGTTCATTTTTTTAAATTTTAATGGCTGTTTTAAGACCTCTTTGCTGTTGCAGACAATAAGGTTAAATTGTTAAAAATAAGTGCTGTTTTCAAGTGAAAGTGCTGCTTTTAGAAAGTGCTGAGGAGGAAAATGATATCACCTCATTTAAAAAGGGGACCAGAGGGACAAAGGACTCTTTAAAAGGCTCCTGATTTCTCTCGGGGGGGCACCAAAATCCCAGTTTTGTTATTGTCCGATTACTGCAGTAGTACATAACATCTATTCCTCATTTTCCCTATTATACGCTGCTCAAATATGAAAGTAGCATAGTGTTTTAAAAAGGAATAATGTGACAGGAAACAGAATTTTCAGACTTGAAAAGTTTATCCTGCCTGCATCAGCCAGAAACTTTAGATAATGAATAGACTTTAGAGTCCCATTTTTTTTTCTTTTATTTGACTGGGTGACATCACATGTTACTTCTGAGACATGCTGTTTTTTAACAATTTACACTTTTTGCACCACAAGGTAATTGGGGACTTCAGGCATTAATTGTTATTTATTCAGTCCTTGGCAGTTGTTCAAGGCTGCCTTCATGATACTTGATAACGGTATCCCATCAAACAGCTGAATAGTGCATGGCTGAGCTTCACGGCTGCTGCCTTACTGGGAGGCACTGGTGTGGCCAGTGTAATTGCCGACACGGAAATGTTCCTCTCCGTGGGCAAAGCGGATCCCCAGCACTGCCTGAACAGTCCTGGGAGGTCCCACCACCTTGCACCAGGGTGCTGGAAAGCCAGAAGCATTGCATCTATCATGATGCCAGAAGCATCTATCATGTTAAGGAAAGAAGCAGGCATCTTCCTGTAGGGGCCGGCTCCCGTAGGGTGTTTTCTCTGGATTTCTCCCCTTTCCCGCAGCTGGGGACACACTGCACCCAGGCTCTGTGGTCATAAGCAAGGAAGAAATGTAAAACCTGCCCTCACTATTTCTACTCAGTGACCCAGAAAAGTTGTTGCTCCTAGACACCCCCAAGAATGCTGGCGAAGCTCCCAGTTCCCCCCTGATTGGATCAGGACTTTTGAAAATGGTTTGCTTTTAATTACTGGCCATCATCTTTCTGGGGAAGGAAGACTTGGTCTGTTCATACGCTGTACTGGTGCTGAAAGGCAGTGGATATTTATACGCTTCCCCTTGCCAGCGATAAATATGACACCCTGCTGCTGGCCACAAAGGACTTTTTTGTTTGCAAGGTAAATGCCGTGGCTGAGAGTTACAAACCGCCAGCGCAGGCATGAGCGGGGTGAAGCCGAGGGACAGCGCGTTGCTGCGCTACGAGGGCTGGCAGTCACATGCCTGTTTGGACATGTGCCGGATTAAGTCATTGCTCAGGGAGATAATGCTTACATGCGGTAATGCAGGAGAGCGGCGCAGCTCACGTGGGCTTCCTGCAGCCAGAGGAAAAGGGTGCACAGGCTCCTGCTCAGCATGGCCGATTCAACAGAAACCGCCCGGCATCCGGGCAGGAGTGTGTTGTAACAGTCCCAAACACCTTAATCCCATCTACAGCCATACTCTGGGTTGCAGGACTTTTTCATGTGAGAGGGATGTGTTGCAAGAGAGCTGTTTTGTTGGAGGAGCTAGAGACATGCCAACAATATGTGCTCAAAACTGCTAATGACATGTGTATTGGCAGATGCACAAACCAAAACTGCTTGGAGGGGCATGGGGAGATTGTTCTTCTTGCGCATCTCCCAGCAGGACATCATGGCTTTCGTGCTATCATTAAAACCGCCCCTTTTACCTGATTCATCTTGGGGAAGGCATATGATCAGGAAGAAATCAGCTATGCTATTACCATGAGAAATTAAGTCAGGAAACAGCCCAAAACAGTGGCTTTTTTTTTCCCAGGTCACATCTGATACAATCTCTTTCCCACCCTCTGTTGTAGAGGAACTTCAAGAAGTGGCCAATGCAGCCGGGTGGCCCTGGGGAGCCGATGCCGCTGGCTACACCCAAAGCAGGGCTGGGCTGAAGGCTAATACCCACTGGGAGTGGGCACAGGTCAGCTCTGGGCTCCCCACACCTGAAACCGAGGGGCTGGAAACCTTGCCCCGCTCCACTGCAGTCCCCAGAGGTGTGGACACAGTGTCCTTCCATGGGCCTCTTTACCAGCATCAGCAGGAGGAAACTTGGGGGTCTCTTTTCCTGATGGCTTTCTTGAACCCTCACTGCCTGCAATGCCACTCAATGACCCCTGTCACGTTAATAGTGATGTAAAATCAGTGAATGAGCACTTGAGAGTCCAAAGGACAAATTTTCATGTGTGCTTGATGGCTGTTCCAACATGACTGGGGAATTCAGCCTTTTTTCCCCCAAAAGGGAGGGTCTTGCATGTGGATGGCAGCGATCTCTGGGGTCAGTGAAGTGGACCCATTGATCAGGAGGTGGCAGTGGCCAGGCGCCGGCAGGGCGCAGACTGCTGCTGTGGTCCCCCTTGGCACAGACAGGCTCAGGTGGCCCCGCTGGCCTTGCTGCCGATGCACCAGGTGTGGTCTGGGTTTGAGGCTGGCTGATGCTCTGTGAATGACCAAATGCCTGTTCCCCATGCGGTAACTCAGGACAGCTGCTGATGCGCGTCATGCTGCCTCTGTTGCCTCTTACTGTGAACACTTTACATGCAAATTTACTTTCTTTGATATTTCATTACAAAATCCCACATGGTAAAGTAATATACAGGGAGGCAGAACAGGTGGGAAGTCTGGTGCTGGGGTCCCTTCTAGTACAGGATGTGGGGGTCCTTGCTAACCCCGGGTGACGAGCCAGCCTTTTCAACTGCTCATTTCTCATGCAGAGATATTTTTTTGTGTCAAATTTTGGTGACAAGTTGGTCAGTCATTATTTTGGTTAATGTAGTTCTTAATGATATTATGAATTACAGTAGAAAAATAAGTCTAATTCTTGGACCCAACTGAGATAAAAACAAACAGGGAATTCGCCACCCACCCCCCTGGAAAAAAAAAAAAAAGTCTGAGACAAGTTTCTGACCTGGAACTTTCCACCCCTGAACTAGTTAAAGTTTGACAAAACTACTAGTAACTACACATGGGTTATTGCGATCAGCCGTGTCAGGAACCCACCAGCTCTTTGTGCGTGTTTGTCCCCAGAACAGACCCGATCCGTTGGTGACAGTCAGACGCTGTCACATGTGGCCTGAGCCCACGTTCCTCATGACTGGTAATTTTCCTGGTGCAAACCATATATTGCTGAGCCACTGGCCAAGGACTGACCAGCATTGCCTTGTGCCTCAGCTTTTTCCACAGTAAATGATGCTAATGATACTTCTTCTATAATGAGCATGTGCATGGGAAATGGTCTGTAAGGAGAAGCTGTTATTACTGTTAGTCATCCCAGACAGGGAGAATATCTGCCTGTGTTACCATCCCTGCTAGAGGGATCCATGCTGGCAGAAAGCTATTGTGTTTATTGCCTAAGCAGAGAGAAAATCTCATTCTTAACCATTTTTTTCTTTTTTTTTTTTTTGCTTTTCTTTCTGGGTCGCAGAACCATCTGGGTCAGAGTCGCAGGGCAAAGGCAGCCTGTCAGAGGATGAACTCATCAGTGCCATCAAGGAAGCAAAAAGCTTTTCCTTTGAGACCCCAGAGGTGCAGCAGTCACCGACCCTTTCTGCTGAGAAGAGAGACCAGCGGGTCAAACCTGGGCGCCCCACCGTCTCCTCACCCCTGGATAATGAAGCCAGCAGCGCGGAGTCAGGGGACTCAGAGATTGAGCTGGTCTCAGAGGACCCACTGGCTGCCGAGGAGGCACTGCACTCCAACTACATGACCTTCAGCCACATCGGAGGGCCTCCTCCATCACCGGCCTCTCCCTCCATTCAGTACAGCATCCTGCGGGAGGAGCGGGAGGCTGAGCTCGACAGCGAGCTCATCATCGAGTCCTGCGATGCCTCGTCGGCCTCCGAAGAGAGCCCGAAGAGGGAACAGGACTCCCCTCTGATGAAGCCCATGGTCATGGACATTATCAAGGAAGAGAACAGCTCACGCACTGATGCCTCAGACTACGAAGCAAGTAAAACGACAGAGAGCAGGATGAACAGGGAAAACCTGGCAGAGTCCGCATCCTACCTGAAATGCTCCTATGTTGCACCGAAAATAGGTGCTGAGCCCCCAACCTCTGCCGTCAGCACCGAGGAGCTGAAGGAAAGAATAATCCTGAAGAAACCCATCGAAGAAACTGTTGTTAACCAAAGTAAAGTGTCTTCCAAGGACTCTGGCAAAAGAAGTCCCTTGGCTTCTCCTGTACTGCCGTTTTTAAATAAGCAGAAAGGTAAATAGAGATGTTTATGTTGTTTTTTTGCAATGCTGCTGAGAAAGGGGAGGAAGGAGAAGTACCTGTTCCTTGCAGGGGAGATGTTAGTAGTGCTGAGCAGGGGGACCTGCTGGCACTGGATAACCTCAGCTCAAAGCTGGGCATGCCTGTGACAATGCACACATCATCTCTGACCTTCCCATCCTCTTCTTTTTCTCCTTTTCCTTTCGCTTAGGAAAAAAAATACTAGTAACAATAATTTTTAGGCTTAAGCATGTAGATACTGGATCAAGCAGGAACACTGGTAACATAAGGCTGATTTGTTCTTCAGGCATCTGGAGGACAAAGAGCAACAAATTACGATTTTTCCTCTGAAATATTACCTGCCTTGCCCCAGGGAAGGGGTGCAATCAGGGAGGTCATCCTGCCCCTCCCAGAAATCTGAGGATAATGTTTTTGAGGATACATGTAGGAAAAAAGAAAGATTCAGAGGATGAGAGGTGTTTGGTTTGGTGGGACTGGGTGTTTCTGACGCTGGTGCAGCTTAAATTAATCTCTCTTGTGGTGGCTGACACCCTCCACCCTGAATAACGAGGGGTTTATGTGTGATTCTAGGCCTAGTGAAGGGAGGTGGGTGGCTTGGGGGTGTTCACCCCAGCTCTGTGTGCCCCTCTATAAGCCCCTTCCCTACTCCAGCTCTGGGACGGGGAAGGCAGGACACTTCCCTGGTACTCAGGTGAGCTCAAGGGAACTTATCTCCCTGTCAGATCCCTTCTAGGCCAGTGTAGAGCCAGCCAGGTCCAGGCTTGCTGTGCTGGGCACTGAGGTCTGACCCACCCACCAAGCCTCTAGAGTCGCCACCACCTTTTGGTCTGAGCTAAAGCCTGAGGACCAAGGAGTAGCACATGGTCACTGCACATTGACACTGCCAGGGGTCCCTGCAGCCTTGTAACTGGCTTAATTCACAAGGCACACAACAGAAAAAGGCATTTTATTCTCTGCAAGATGCCAGCTCTAAATAGGTAGGACCTTTGTATGCCTCTGGCTTTGTAGGCTGGTGTGGGAGGGAGGGACACTGGGGCTGCCCAGCGCCTGCCCTGCTCCCCCAGGCTGGGCTGGGGGGCAGCGGTCGTCCACGGCTCTTCTGTTGGCTGGGGGTTTGCAATTCGGAGAGCTGCTGCTTCCTTGCAAACAGCTGGATAGAAATGGAGGGGAGGCGAATCCCACCCCGGCCGCTTAGAGAGCATCTTTTTCTTTTCCCTCAGTGTTTGTGCAGATGTTTGACCACATGATGGCCTGGAGATGTGGCAGACACGTTTAAGTGGCACACTTTTACAACCGATTTATCTAGTGCTGTGAACCCAAGCGTGCAAGTCTAGTGAGGAAACAGCCTGAACTTGCATGATGTGCTGAGGACTGCAAGATCTGCAATGCAATAAAATATGTTAATACTGATATTCTTAGCAGTAATGAACTAAGAACATCAATAGGCTGAATAAGAAACATGATTATTGCTTGTAAATATGTTTTCCTGCCAGATTCTCAGAGCTCTGCAACATCACACTGTGCATCTCTGAGCTCCCTCACAGGTAGGATAACCATTTCTCTCTACCCTTCCCAAATTCCCCTTTTGTAGGACTGGCCCAGGCCCTGCCCAAACCCTAGAAGCTGTAGGTGAATTTACCTTCCACACCCTTCCTGCAGTGTCCAGCATTGGGTCTCTGCCAGCATGTTGTGTTCTGTGTGTTGTTCTGGGCACACAACTAACAAGTTGGTCTTTGATTTGGGGAAAGTAGTTGGGGAATATCACATGGGCAGCTAGTTACCTGTCCCTCAATTTTGAGATTTCAGGCCCCATTACAATTTTCAGTCCCCCTCAATTGTATTCAGATTTTTTTTGCCTAACTTTTATGTCTCATGTATTTTCTGTCATTGGTTAAACTGGTGCTAGCAGAGGCTTGTTCTCATATGGTGGTCAGAGAAAATCCCTGTGTGTGTGAACAGACTTTCTTCCTGCATTTCAGTGTGCCCATGTTTCCTATCTGTATTCCCAGAGGACAGTAGAGGCAGGAACATTTCCTCCAGCACAGACACAAGACAGCTAATTACTATTTGGCGGTGCGTACAGGACTATTTCACTATGTGCTTTTCTCCCTTGAGACGCTGCGGTGCCTAAGGCAAGGAAAATAGAAACATGAAGCCTCTCAAGAATATTATTGCTAAAACTTGTGTAACTTTTTAAAGCTGAATTCAAGGTATGGGGGGGGGGGTCAAGATAAGAAAATATGGACGATAGTGGGGTCCAGTTTACGCTACCTTCCAGTCACAGGTATTTGCTGCATGGGTTGCTGTGTCTGGTTGCTAGTTAAAATTTTTATGTTGAAGGTGGATTATGGGGCTCTCCTGACCTGGGAAAGGAGAGCTTGACCCTCACTCAGACAATTTACATGAAACACTTCAGTGTTTTTTCAGTTACCAGAGGTGAACTGGGGGATGTGTTAACTGGCTGGTAGAACCAGAAAACCCCCATGGATCCTCCCAGGCTCCCATCAGCTTGGAGCTGCAGCGGCTGGCAGGGAAATGATGTGGCAGAGCACATCCAAGGGGACAGGGACTGCCTTTGTAGCACCAACTTGGGGTCTTGGCAGAACTTTACATCACGGCATCATATGTTTGTCATATGCCAACTCAGATGCACCTGGCAGGCATTTGGCATGGGCCACACTCAGCCAAAGTGATGAGAATAGAGAGAGATGTGCCAGTGCCACATAGTGGAGGTGCAGCAGAACGATGTCACCCAAAGCAAGAACAGTGTCATCATTCATTAAGAGAATTATCTTAATTATAGTTATCTATCATTAAAAGTATACTAACAATATGTGACTATGTTCTTGTTAAAAGGTAGAAAACAGAAAAACCTTCATTGTTTCCTGTTACCTCCTTGTTACACGTCGCCTCAGAAGTGTTGTGCTACCACTGCACATCCTTATTAAGACGGAATGGTTTTAGTGATGTTCACAGAGTCCAGGTGGGGACTGATCCCCCTATGGCCATGGCGAGGCCCACCTGAGTTCAGGTCAGTGCTAGCCCAGAGTTTCTGGAGATTCCTAGGAAACTGATGGATCAAATGAAGCTGTTCGACACACCCAGCTGTAGATTGACACCCAGTTGTAGATCTTTCTGTGGCCTTTGGCCAGCTCATAGCCAGGTATATGTAATTTAAAAATAGTCGGCCATCAGTTTCACGTGTGTTAACTATTCCACAGCATGATACTGTAATTCCATCAAGGAGTTTTTTACTTGTATTGATTGCATTAAATACACTTTGCATGGCTCATCAGAAGAGTTTGCCCTGGGCTGGCAAGACAAGAATTGATTTTGAGTGCACCCTCCAGGAAGTACATGGAGAAGCTGTGCAAAGTGAAAGCCCAGCATTCAACTTGACCCCAGGAACACTCTTGCTGATTGTGTTGCTGCCGGCCTGCACCTTAATCCCTCTGAGACTTTTCTGGTGTGTCTGCTAGGCATGCTGAAATGATGGCCAGTCCCATAAATAACAAGGTAGAGCACAGCAAAGTGTACGTGTGGTTTGTGCAGTGATAACATCTCTGCTTAACATCGGTTGCCATCCAGTGGCAATAACAAAAATGGGCACTGACTTCCTACCTCCATTTTACTGGAGCTAACTGTTATGATTTGAAAGAGTGGAGCTATTCCTGTGCCGTTAAACACTTGGCAGCCTTGCCTGCTTTTCCGCACGATCAGAAAGATCGCATTGCTGGCTGCAACAACAGGCTTTGTTTTGGCCAGAGTTGCGCAGTTGCTACCTATGTTAGTGTTACTAACTCCTTCGCCTCCCGCAGCGCAGAGGGGAAGGAAGAGCTGTAGCAAGACATTTGCTGTTCGACTCTTGCCCATGCATCACTCGTGGCATCTCCTCCCAGAGGTGGACACAGCCCTTACACAACAGGGCTTAGAGCCCCTCTGTGGCTCTGCAGGAAAGGAGGTTGCCAGCTCGGTTTCTTTTTTTTTTTTCCCCTTTTTTTTTTTTATATTCATCTCAGAGAAGGAAGACCAGTTGTATTTGTGTTTTCTGGTAGCCAGAGCAAGGAATGCAGATTTTTAGGTTTGTTCTAAGAAAACCCTGTCTTGCAACAGATTTTCACAAACTTTGGAAAATGATACAACTGATTGATGTAGCCTGCACGCTCTGTGACATTGCATAGCCCAGCTGATGTCCAGACTGGCCTTGCACATGGCTTGGGCATGCAGGAAATTTCAGAAAAGACCTGCTGTCCTGGAAACATGCATCTTTTGGCCTGGGGCAGTTTGCAAGAAACCCAAAAGAAAGGCAGGCTGGGAAGGAGCGTTTTGGCTGAGTCCTCTCCTGTCTTCTCTTGCCATGCCTGTCGGTAGCTCTCTGCCAGGGTGTCCTGGTTTACCACATGCTGGTGTCCCACAGCCTGGGGACCTGGTCCTGGGTGGGGATTTCCCTTATGTTGGGGCATCATGTTGCTCTCCATCCTGTCCTTTAATGACTATATTAGGAGATTCCTTCTGCTTGATCCACGTAATGAAATGTGCAGCAGCTTGTTATGTTTCAGACCAAATGTCTCAGCTCAGGTTAAAAAAAAAAAAAGGAAAAGATGTGGACATTCATAATAATGTTTAATTTTATTTTATTTTTATTTTATGGTGAAATTTAGCATAGGAAAAGGAAAACCAAGGCCCAGGGCTGTGGCGTCGTGCTGTCACTCACATTCTAGATGCCACAACTGGCAGGACCCAGGCTCCAGGCAGAGTCCTGCTGGAAATGCAGTCAAATAAAATTCATCATGTAAAATGCTTTATTCTGCAACACAATCCTGTGCCACCCTGCTATAAGGCATCCTGATTTTTATGCCTTACTAAAGGCTTTTGTAGCATTAATCTGGTTAGTCCACAACAAGAGCATGTCCTTACCACACACCCTTCATGGCTGCTGTGGCTCTAAGCACCCATGAGGGACACCAAGGTTC